CACACACACACACACACACACACACACACACACACACACACACACACACACACACACATACAGACATAGTGACACCCTCACGGGAATAGTCAGGGAAGCTTCCTAGGACCTCAAAACGTCGAGATCTGATGAAACTTAACTTCCCGATTTTTGAAAATTTTCAATTTTCTTAGTGGGAAGTTAAAAATTGAAGTGATTTCTTTAAGCATCTATTTGAGTTTATTGTTGAATTAAAGGAAGTATTTTCAATGTTTTTAAAGAATTCACGAGTGCATTCTTGAGTTATTTTTCAGTTAATATAAGTATACTTATAGAGCAAAAAGCGAAGACATTCTTCATATCAGTAATAAACGTTTTTCGTTAAGCAAAGAAAAATTTGTAATATTTGTATAATTTCTTCTGAAATGATAAATTCACATAAACTTAGTTTCGTGGAGTTGAAGTTCATTAATAACAGAAGTGCATTTACTACTAAAAATAGTTATCATAAAAATTAATATATAGGAATAAACGAGTCATTAGTACGTAAATTAATATTCTACTTAAAATATTCATAAATATTCCGTTAATAAAAACTTCTATTAAAATATTATGAGAGTTAAAATTGAAGAACTTTATTGAAAAAACTTCTCACACTAATAAAAAATTTTTTAGGTTAGGAAATGAAAGAAAAAAAATTGTAGAAATTACAAACTCTCATTGTGATTTTTTTTTTAGATTTTATTTTCTGTAATTAAAAAATAAAAGAAAAATTATAACTAAATATATTATTTAATTAAATGTGTAAATTATAATAGGATTATCAAAGAAGAACAAGTAGTTATGTAGCGGTAAGCGCGTACGGCTTAAGGGTATAATTATTACCAGATAATAGGCGAGAATTTTTAACGTTTCTTTCAAGCTAGCTTAATGAAATTCGCAAAATCGATTGAGCACAAGCTTTTACACCTTATAGAATTTTTAAATAACTTTTTATAAAATGTCAATATTGGTGAAGTATAGTTGAGTCAGATATACCCCTTTAATTTCAAAAAATCATGGAAACGAAATTATTAAAATACTCTTAAAATACTGTAGCCGTTTCGTAAAAATTTGAAACATTTAATATTTAAATTTCTTCCCTTTAGCATAAATTATACATTCAGAGCTTAAGCTTTGTAAACAATTACAATAATTTCCGTAAAGGACAGAATATCTGTTGAGGTATTTTATAAAAAAATGAATTTCATTCAACATGCTGCTACTTTGTGGAGAGTTGAAGTTGCGAAAAAATGGCTCAGGTTATTTCTATAACTGCAGCATCTCAGCTGAAGTATTTTTAGTTTGACGATACTTCTTAGAATTCTTTCACCATCAAAGGAGTAAAAGGAGTCCGCCCCCAACAGTACTGAAACTTGCTGTGCTTCCGCTGTGTCTATTTTTAATATCTTTTGTTTCACTTTCAGTAAGTGCTATTTCAATACAAAAAAATCGAATTCACTCAAGACTTTCCTGTTCATTTAATTTGATTTTTTATCGATAGTTATTTATAAATAAATACCCTGTCATTATAATATAAAATAAAAATTATTATGAAGACATAATTCATAAGATTACAGTACATTAATGTCAAGAGTTATAATTAATATACTTAATATCATCTAGATAATAAAGAAAACAAGGAAAAATTCTGTCTCCGGCGTATTTGTGTAACAAAATTAATTTTTTTTTTTTTTAATTTAATTTAGTTTTATTGAAGAAGTCTGACCTGAATTTCTAACTTTTCAAGGTCTCATATGCTTTTCAGTAATAGTTAATTTACTTTGATAAGTTTTCCGAGTGGTTATAAATAAATTCGAATTTTTTACTAGATAAAATTTGTTTATCTGCTTATTTTATTATATACATCCGAATTTCATTATATGTCAAATATTAATTCATATAATTAAGAAAATAGGGAAATTTTCATCATTGATCGTAACCTAAATTTGTGCCTCATCACAGTTTGAGATTTTTTTCGGCGATAATTAATTGATTATTTAAATAATCAAAATAGTCATGAAAATTGTGCAACGGGTATGTATTTATTTTAAAAACGATTTTTATATACTTAAATTAGCAAAAATTTCTTGACGTTAATTTGAGCCTATTTACAATTTTATATATATTTTTTGATACTAGTGAATTTTTTATATCAAATCTTTGAAGCAATTTTGAATAGTTTGTTGGTCCTATAAATTTGTTCTGTCGGATTTTCCATCAAATTATCAAAAATTGATCCAGTCATAGCAATATTATTTTTTAAGTTTATCTCAAAAGCGCACTGACGCTACGTACATTAGGATTAAAAGCGTCGACAAATCATTAAGCTCCGGTATTATTATTCATAATTCTTAATACTCGGTAGTCACATAGTTACTGTAGGTTGCTAGCTTACAATATACGTTGTTGAGTTTACTAAAATTAATCGAATTCAAGCTTTCGACTTCGGATGACATTAAATTTATTCTTTACAGTATACATTAGTATGATGGATATTTTACGTGTTGAGAAATATCTGAAAATTATTATTATCATTGTCTTAAATTATGACTTTACGCCAATCAGTGAAACGGAGATCAAAACAGCTATTCAATTTCCTCCTTAATATTGCCTTGTACTTTCATTATTCTGATACTGACAGTAGGATATTAACGTGAAACTAGCCCTTTATCAGTATACTTCTAGAGATATAAAGGAGTGATCATTATTCTTTTAAAGTTTCTTATTTTTTTGTCTGTATTCGATAAGAAAGAATTTATATTATCAATTATTTATTTTTATTTTTCTTAACTTAAAAAAAATTTAAGTAACTATATTCTATTCACGAGGTTCTACTTTTTAAAATTTTGAACTCGAATTACAGTCTATTTATCTAGCCGGAAGATATAAAAAAAAATGAACTAATAGAATTCTCGGCCTTTACTGTTTGGTCACAATAAAGTTTATTTTCCGGATATCACACCGAAAGCCACGAAATAAAATCCGACGTTGCTTGTTCCCAGATTACGTCTCGTAAAAGCCACTTACAAAACCTACTGCACAGAACTTTGCTATTTTTATTTAAGTTTTTTCTTATTTTCCGATTGCAAAAAAAAGGATAAAGAAAGCTATAGATTGAAAGTCAGAAATAAGAAGATGTAGTGAGTATAGAGCGGAAAAACAGTGAGAGTATAGATTTTTTTTTTTTATATATTGATGCCGGCTTCTAGTGCTTTCAAGCGGCTTCATGAAAGAAATGGAGATTTTCAATTGAAAAGAGGCTCAAGTATACTAACATTCAGTGACCGCTTTACAAAATTCTGCACCATATACCACAAAACCATGGAAAAATTATTCTATAATGCGATATCGTTTATTCTTGATTAATGAGTGAATTGATTCGTGGATTGGTAGTCGGAATTTTTAATACAATAGCTCGATTCATAGTAAGTTCGTAGTGAGATTATTCAGATAGTGTTACCTCGCTTTGAGGCGTGCAATTATGAAGTAATTTAAGTTGAGAATAATTGTTCGATTTTTTCGAATTTAGAATAAAACTTTTACATTACTATGGGTGTAATATGAAAGAAGCTTTTTATTAATGCTCTTTTGACGAATAAAAACTAAAAAAACTATTAGATAATACGAGCATATAGCTACAAATGCGCCAAATAGTTGGGAAGCGTGTATATTAGGTCGACAATAACAAAATTCGAATTGCTACTAAAAGTCAATATTAGATTCTGTTTAGTATTGAAACCAATCACGTCAAAATTGATCTTTATATCTCAATAATTAGAATGATATTTGCATTTGTTTTAACTTGCATACAACTATCGCGATGTTTATTCAGTAGGTGACCATCAACAGGCTTTGATATCATATATAAAAAAGCAGATTAAGTCAATTAAATAGTTAATAATGAAAACTGCAAAAGTAATGTAATTCGAATTTGGAGTTTGTATGAAGCAAATACAATTACGAGGTAAAATAAACTTAAACTTCTATAGTAAATGGATATATACAGTGACGGATATTGAATGCAACAAATAATCGATTTAATTTAATTCTCTCTTCAAAATTGCAGGCTGTAGACAAATAACAGTGGTACCGGTTTATAGGAATCAACTATCGAATATCTGGTTACAAAAGGTTTGGTAAAATTTTCAATAATTTAATATTCTCATGTTCATTATTATGCGCCCTCGATTGATTAACTGAGTTAAAAAACTGTAAGGATATCTTTTATTTATACTGAAAAATTAATTAAACGAAGATCGACTGGTAAGAAAAATGTATTAATATCAAAATATTGAATAAAGTATTAGCGATGTGAATAAATGATAGGAAACCTTTACATAGGAAGTTTAAATTTCTTATCGTAGCTTTTAAAATTCAGATGAAATGAATGAAAAATGTAAGGAAGAACTTTCTTTTGAAGTGATCAGGAATAAAGGATTCGTAAGAGCTTAAAATTAAAATGATAGATGAAATATTGAAAATTTAAGAATATTTTAATAAACCTTTTTCAAAGGAATTCAATGTGTTGTAAGGAATATATATATTTATTCAGCAGTTTCGTTGTATTTGAAATCTTTCAGACAAAAATTTAATGTGACGCAAAAACTTATAAAATTCGCAAACTTAAGACAATTATTCAATATTGTAAGAAGCTTTCACTTGTTCATATTAAAAACACAGCGTTTCCGCTAAAAAATTTTACATATTTATATATGGCCTGATCTGATATGTCTCTATAAAATTTGTCGACCAAAGGTAGTGATAAAAATCTCCGATAGAGGGTGTATGCTCGCTGAATCGTCTCTTTACTAGAGAATTTAGTTCTAAAATAAGAATAATTTTTTACTTTCTTGAGAAGATTATCTTGCATTGGTTTTTAGTTTGATTAGCAATCGAATCAATTTTTGATCAGTTCGATATGTTAATTGACGTATACATTTCTATAAAAATTAAACAATTACAATAAACTGTTTCTTTTATTTTCAGACATCGCTCAATGTAAAAATATATGACTAGATCAGACTATATATGGCCATATCAAAAAAATATTTTTACTGTTTACTCATGAAAACTGTAAAAACTGTTTTTTACAAACTATAGAAAAAAAATAAATTTTTACTCACAATAAACATCCAGAGGTACTTCTCTGACAATCGGTTTATTCATAGGACCCGACTGCGCTCTACATTCTAATGTGGAACCCCACAATGATCTAGTCACTTTACCGATGAAAAGATGATTTACCGTAAATTTGCTAGAACTTCCAGAGATGTCAGAAATCTCTGGCACGTCAACAACCCCATCCAAAAGTTGCCCGTCTTTCCACCAAGTTACTGTGGGTTTTGGTCGACCTAAAATCATAATAAACATTACTCACATATATTAAATATATATATACATACACAATTCACATATATGTTTACTCGAGGGATGAGTCGCAGAGGTAATAATTACTGCTATATCGACAGCGATTTCACAATTCGGAGTTTAACAACCAATATATACATGAATATAAACAGCAGGACGGATAAAATTGAATTTATTATGTCCTTGGGACAGTTGAACGGATTTCCTCTCGGCATAACGCGTTATGAATATACCTTGTTGCTTTCTCTTTGAGTTAATTTAACCATTCTGTCCCTACGATGTCCAAATACCAAACAATTTTCAGTCCTGGAAATTAATTCTCCTTTTAGCTTTAGCAAATAATAATTGATGAATCCCTATAAACAGTTGAATTTTCTCGGTTCCGTTTATTACTGCTGCAACAACTCATTACGGGCAGTTCTATCTAATCAAAGAGAACCCGTACAAATACGCTAAAAATTCCAATATATCTTTCTCCAAATATTTTTTTACTGATTAAAAAAATTAAGTTTCATATACAGAGTGATTCAAATTCATCATGAAATTTATCTGGAATTCCAGCTGACTTTCATATTGAATTTCGAATTATTATTTTACATATTGTGTTCTTGTACTCCAAAAAATTTATCCAGATAGAAGTTTAAGAATCGTAAATAATGAGTCAGCGTAAGTTACGCTAAAAATTCCAATATATCTTTCTCCAAATATTTTTTTACTGATTAAAAAAATTAAGTTTCATATACAGAGTGATTCAAATTCATCATGAAATTTATCTGGAATTCCAGCTGACTTTCATATTGAATTTCGAATTATTATTTTACATATTGTGTTCTTGTACTCCAAAAAATTTATCCAGATAGAAGTTTAAGAATCGTAAATAATGAGTCAGCGTAAGTTACGCTAAAAATTCCAATATATCTTTCTCCAAATATTTTTTTACTGATTAAAAAAATTAAGTTTCATATACAGAGTGATTCAAATTCATCATGAAATTTATCTGGAATTCCAGCTGACTTTCATATTGAATTTCGAATTATTATTTTACATATTGTGTTCTTGTACTCCAAAAAATTTATCCAGATAGAAGTTTAAGAATCGTAAATAATGAGTCAGCGTAAGTTACGCTAAAAATTCCAATATATCTTTCTCCAAATATTTTTTTACTGATTAAAAAAATTAAGTTTCATATACAAAGTGATTCAAATTCATCATGAAATTTATCTGGAATTCCAGCTGACTTTCATATTGAATTTCGAATTATTATTTTACATATTGTGTTCTTGTACTCCAAAAAATTTATCCAGATAGAAGTTTAAGAATCGTAAATAATGAGTCAGCGTAAGTTAAACTAAAAATTCTAATATAACTGTCTCCAAATATTTTTACACTGATTAAAAAAATTAAGTTTTATGTGCGATTTGTTTCAAATTCATCATGAAGTTCATCTGGAATTCCAGCTGACTTTCATGATGAAATTCATATTTGTTTCACAATCTGAAGTTCATCCGGAAATTCATCCGGAACCAAAATTTTTTTTGTACGGGAAAATGGATATCAAATAATGTCAAATATACAAACAATGCAATGAAACTGATAGAAGAAAAGCGGTCCTTCGTAATAGTGTTTTTGAAGTTTGCCTACGTAATAAACGTGTAATTGATTCAATTTATATCCAAGTACACGTTGATTGTAATTTGTCATAGAAATTTAATTGCTTTGATTCTATCTTTAATTAATATCAAGATATATTAAACTGCATTTTAAAAACATCAAAAAAACAATTAGAATTTGTATTTTATAACATTAACATTTTTTTACAAAGAAAGTAAGTGTCGCTAGTAAATAACAATAATTACTCTATAAAATTATCTTTGTTAATGCAAAGTTGGTTAAAATCTCGACTATAGATTGTTTCATAGATGGCTACCTTAAAACTCAATTTGCTAAGCTTAAGCGCGATAAACTCGTACATAATGCATATAATCTCATAATAAACATCTATATATTGATCCATTATATAATTAATCACTACAAGGTAAATTTTATTATTATTATTTTTTCTTAATTAATATTTTTTATTCAAAATATTAATAAGAAAAAACAGGTATTGTTAATATAAAAGGCTAACTTTTTTTCTCTTTTTCATTAATCGGAAGATAGTAAATTTCCCCGGGATCCGCTCGGTAATGCCAACATAAAGTGGATTAAATTACAAAGGTTGTTGATATTTACCTCCGGATACTTGGCAAGTAAGCCTGAGATCATAGCCTTCAAAGAAGCGAGGGACGCCCATCACCTCACGTCCCTGCGCGTCATAAATTATTGGCCGTGTGGGTTGCTCTAAAATGTTAAAAAATTTTTTAAATAATAATATTAAGTTACAAAATACCCAAAAAATTAATTTCATTACTGATAATATTTTTTTAATAAATTGGTATGATAATATTGATGAATAAATAATTAGTTTGTCTAACAGGATAATAAAGGTAAATTTTGATGAAAATAAAAAAATAATTTTGATTATTAATAATTAAATATGCTGATTGGCATTTAAATTTTTCCTGTGATTAGTACTCGAATCAAACCCAATGTAATATAGCTCAATAAGCAACATATGTGATTAAATTTGAGCTTTCAGCGTAGATTTATGATGAATGAAATTTCCAAACTAAACATCAATGTTTAAAGTGAAAATATATGATGTACTACATCATTTTCTCTCTATTGGGATTGATGTTTATTCTAGCCCACATGACATCCGTTTATATTATAAACAGAGGTAATATGCATGTATTATATATTAAATAAGCCATTGACAAATGATATGCTCTAGGTGAATCTATTTTTGATTTTTGATTTTGACCTAGAATTTTTAAAGTCGTGATACCGTTTGTAAATTTTATATTTAAAATAAAAATTTTTCATATTGACCTATGAATAACGCAAATGGAAAATCATGTTCGCGTAGATAATGTAAATGTGATTTATAAATATTTATAAACACGTAATATCGCCTCTTCTCTGCAGAACTTTTGCAACTATTGTCGATGCGAGGTTTACGCAGAAACGGAGTACTATTTATTTTGTACTAATAAATGAATAAAATAAATAAATAAACTTTAACTCACCAACTAACGTAAGATTAACACGAAAATTTCTTGTTGGAGAATTTGAAAAATCAACTCGACACCGAAAGATTCCTTGATCCTCAAATTTAACCGTCTTTACCTTGAGTCTTGCACGATGGCTATTTCCGCTGAAAAAATGCGTTCGATTTCCCAAATCGTCGCTGGCTGCCCAATGTATGGCATCGTTCATTCCTTTAGTTCTTGCATCGACGCTTGAAAATATACATTTTAAAATTATTTATTATTTTTAGATTTATTTACTCAATTCAAGCATAACTCTCAATTAATGAATAATTTTCAATATTTATTTTTCAGATCTAAAGACACAAAAAATTGAGGTTCATCAAAGTATCTCTTCAAATATTTACTTCAGAATGCAATGAAATACTACTAAAAAGTATTTATTAATGCTTTAATCGCTGTAGAAGATAAAATATGTGTAATATAAAATATTTCTGTCGGTAAATTGGATAAGTTAATATATAAATTATAGATTCAAAAAAAGAGAATATATATTTCCAATGGAGTGAAATCATGTAATATTTCCCAAACATCGGAATAAATCTAATATTAATGTATGATAGTAAAATTTATCTGTTTTAATTGAAGTTGTTGATCTATTATTGTCGTTTAATTATAAAATTATAAATGCGGATTGAATATTATTTACCGTGGGGAATTGATGTTGTTACATTGATAGAAGGATCTTTTCTGCCCTCCGGCCGGAAAGTGGCAACTTTCTGGCCGCTGCGCTAAACAAAGTTGCCACGTTCCGGCTACGTCGAGCAGAAAAATAGTATATTTTTCTCGGTATAGTACTCGGCTTCGCCTCGGCCAACAATTACATGTGGTCTGAGACTTTTCTTATTTTACTGGCCTAGGTATGTAATATACTATTAATGTATAACAAGTTTTATTAACTGGTAATAAATTATCTTTTAATATCAGCTCTCGAAAAAATTTTAATATCAGGTCATATATGAACATGCCTGAATTGACGTTTCCTGATATCATATGTAATTTTTCGATCAAATGCATGTTAAATATCTTCGACAGATGGCGTATGATCGCTGAATGATCTCGCCACAAGAGAGTTGAATCGGAGCTGTTATAAAGTTCTAAAATATAAATCATTTTTTGACTTTCCTGAGGAGCTTAGAGTCGCGTGAGGTAATTGTGGGCAGCGGTAAGTATGCGCAACCCGTTTTTGATGAATACAAAGGCGAAAAAAAAAATATTAAGAATCTGGTGTCGTAAAGGCATAATTTGCTGTCATGGCAAAGATTGTTCCACTGTACTGCGGATAGTATCCTATTTCTTGAAAATATACTAGTTCTTGATCCCCGACCCGAAAATATGAACTTTCAGGCCGCGTTTCGCTCCAGAAAGTACGACTTTTGTGGCTCGTTTGAATTACAGACTGCGCTCTGCTGGACTACGTGTTTTTTTTGGCCCGGTAGTGTAATTGCTATATTCACAAGCATATTGTATGCAATATTCATTCGCTTGTCATACTTTTTGTAGTTATAGGGGAGGGGGGGCAAAATGGGCCCCTAGGAGCAAAATGGGCCCCCTAAAATTTTCAATATCCAAAAATATTTAGGGGCAAAATGGGCCCCCAACATTTTCAACTCTCGAAGTGCTTGTATTTTTCAGTTAAACGCGTTCTAGAATTTTTGAATTATAGAAAAAATTATATAGGTAAAGTACGAACTAGGTCGCGAGTTAAATAACAGCATTATTTACTATATTTTTGGTTGAAAAACTATTTACTTTACAGAAGCGTCTCTGACTATTTTTGCGATGGTGTGTGTGTGTGTGTGTGTGTGTGTGTGTGTGTGTGTGTGTGTGTGTGTGTGTGTGTGTGTGTGTTTCATGCATGAACGTAAACCTCTCACTTCGTAGTGATGTGTGTGTGTGTGTGTGTGTGTGTGTGTGTGTGTGTGTGTGTGTGTGTGTGTGTGTGTGTGTGTTTCGTGCATGAACGTAAACCTCTCATAACTTTTAAACGGTTCGACCGATTCAAACGGGATAGACAGCAATCGAAAGAGTTTCTTTGCCCCTAGATATTTTAAACTATTTAAGGTAATTCGGGCCAATAGATTTTAAGTAATCTCGAAAATAAAATTTTCAGGAAATGTTTTTTTTTCAAATAAATTTTAATAATCTGCTGAATCAATCGTTTTCAAAAACTAATCAGCTCTTAAGCCGCCAATAATCGCCAATAATATCGCCAATAATCGCCAATAATATCGCCAATAATCGCCGCCAATAACGTCAAAATCGGTTGACTGGTTCGAGAGATATTTAATTTAAAAAAATTAAAAAAAGTATTTTTTTAACACATCTTTGAAATTTCAAGTCCGATTGTTTGGTTGGTGATAAATAATATTTTTGTTCTAGAAAGACTGCATAGAATGCCTTTAATTTTTTTTAAATCCGTTAATTTAGTTATGAGATATCGTTATCAAAAAAATTGTTTTTTTTTATACATTTTTATTGGCTTCACCTATCGATTCTAAAAACTGATCGGTTTTTAAGCTTGGAAACCCACGTTGATCGCCGTTAACGCGATTGAAATTGGTTGATTAGTTTGAGAGATACCGTTGTCGAAATAATTCAAAAAACGCGTTTTTTTTAAATCACTCCGACATTTTTTACCTGATTTCTTATTGCTTTTGGTGTTAAATGTGGAGCGCTTAGGTATGAAGTTAGCGGAAAGTTGCAGTGATGGCTTTTAGGGTCTACTGTTATCCTAATTTTTTATACTGAATACATAAAAAAATTCAAAGTACAAAACAAGTAAGAAACATATTGAGTTTTTTGGGGGGGCCCATTTTACCCCACTTTTCTCAATTTTTTAATTTCGATGTACACAAAAAAATTAATACCATAAACTCAGTAAAAGGCCAAAAAAAGTAAAACGAGCTGAAAAACTCATATTATAAAAATTTTCTGAAGGTGGCCCATTTTGCCCCACATTTTCAATTTTTTTTTTTTTAATCAACAGAGCAAATTGAGGTCAAATACTTGGCAAGGGATTAAAAAAAAGTAAAACCAGAGAAAAACACTAAGGATATCAACATTTTTTTCTTAAGGGGCCCATTTTGCCCCCCCCCCCTTCCCCTATAAGTGTTAATGGCCAGCTGTTTGTTGCTGATTATATACGTTAATATATTCAAACTATTTAATAAGAATTCTATTGTGTTTGGCAATTAACAATTTAATTTTGTTTGTTTATTTATTTATTTATGTATTTTTTATTCTTAATTTTTAGTTTCAGGATTTAATTATCGTGCAATTAATTAGTTGTATCTTATTTATTATATATTTTTTTAAGCCCGCGCCAACCAGCAAAGCCGAGGCGAAGCCGGGCTGCCCCCCCCCCCCCCACCCCAGCTCGTGTTTCCGTATTTTCGGATAGGGATAAAAAAAAATAGTATACAACCCATGGCCAAAAAGTTGGATGCTCTGACACATGAAATATACTATTGATAATTTTGTACATTTTTTGAAACATATCCCGCAAAAATGATCGATCAGTAAATTCTGCTCTCAAAATAATAAAGCAATCCTTAATACAGGATAGTAGTTGTAAAGCTTTACCTTACAACTCCACATATTTTCAGACTTGAATAGTAGCAACCGAAAATATCTAAAATACATTCCACACCGGATTACGATACTGTAAAGTTAAGCTACATAACAGTGTACAATATAAATTGTTAGCTTTGAACGATGGAAATTGACATAATTCAGTGTCTTTGACCATTTCAATAAACACATGTATCGGAATAAGTTACTATCCGCCTCCGGTTGTTACCAGACTAATACGCTCGAGCTCCCTACGGTAGTTTGGCTCCGTTCTATTCGTACTAGAATAAAATAAGTCCGAGACATACAGTGGATGTCAACATTAGCCTTACTTATGAGTGTGTATGGTAATATATACGCATACTACCGACGTAACATTTGCACTTTATATTTATAGTATGTAAACATATACTATTTAAATTTTTTTTGGTAAATTATTCATCATGATTGATCTAGACTAATTGAAATAGTATCGTAATAATTTTGATAGCTATGCAGAAATTTTCAACCAAGAAACTAGTTATTTTTTTGTCAACTGCCAAAATTTAAATATAAATTGAAATTCACTATTCATTACATCGAAGCGCAATCGATTCGGCAAAAAGGACACGGCTATGCATGATTTATTGTGCAGTCGATAAACAAAACCATCGGACTGTAATTCATGTCTTATTCGAGTTTGCTCGAGCTCACGATACTAACTAAGGATACAATTCGTGTTTGCTTACCAAATCAATGAGATATTCTCTTTCGTGCTTTCGAGACACATCAAATTTGAAAATGAAAAGATTTATCGTAAAAACTGGATTCTTTTTCTAATCTTTCAAATTAGTTAACTCAACTACAAAAATAATAAATAAAATAAATTAAAAACTCACTCTGTGCAGTAAACACGGTTTTAAATAAATCTCCCGAAAAATACTAAACTTTATAACTAAATGTATATGTATTTGGTTTAGATTTCATACTAAATTCAATGTAACCACATATTTAATTTAACTTGATGGTTTACATATATATTATATATAAATTCAAATACGAGATTAAACTCAACATCACCTGACACGTCTACTGTGAATTATTTTTCCCGTATTTTACTTACGCTTCAGTACTTTTATTTATTTATTTTTTCGTACAAACGTTTACCAGTAGTGATGCTGACGATTGTTTGTTTTCTTATTTTTATTTCTGTATTTATGATTTTTTATCGCTTCAAATTCATTTCTGCTCTATTTCTCCTATTCATTGATATTGCGACCTCATTTAAATCTTTACTTCTTTATATAAATGTTGCGCATACCTTTATAAATACGAGAATTTTTCTTTTCAACCCAAATGCTTTTTACTAGCTGTGCTTCATTCATTTTTTTACTTTTTAATATTATTTTTCACGTTTACGTTAGTATAAAGAGACATAAATTGCAGCATTATGTTAATTTAATAAAATAATAAATAACTGTCAAACGTATATATATGTTTATATACTTTTTATTCATTTTCATTTATAGTATGCACAATATTGTATTTTACTTTAATGAAGAAACGGTTTGATCAATTATTTGTGATTGTATATTTTCTTATACAATTATTTTTTCCTTCTATTCAGTGAAAATAATTGATGCAATTTAATTTTAATTGATGAATAATAATTATATTCTTTGAACTTCTTGCTACTTTTGGTGATACTGTCAAATACGGCCGAATCATGCTATAGATGAGAGTAAAAAAATAAGTTATTAAAATTTTCCAATTTTTTTTTGTCTATAAATCTGTACGTTAGTTAAAATCATGTGTTAATAGTATCTTGTGTGACTAGTGCGGTAAGTTGGCGATTGCCCACGAGAGCGAAATTGAGCGCACGAACGAAGTGATTATAAAAGAGTAAAAAAATTAGGAAAACGGTTGACCCTAAAGATCATCCCTGCAACTTCCCGCTAATTCCATATTTGAGTGCTCAAAATTGCACTTATTGCGCTTTTGAGCTTTTCAAGCTCAAAAATATAATTTCCGTATCATTTTGAGCTCGCCGAGTTCAATAATCTGATAGAAGTTTAATAAAACACTATTTTTTGAATTTTCAAACCGCAACAACTTTTGAATGAATGAACTAATTTTCACGCGATTGGCGGCATTTGGCGCAGTTTTTTAAGCCTCATGAAGAATTTTTAAGTTTAATTTGATCAGACTAAGAATTTCGAAGTAATTCCAAAAAAACACTTTTTTCGGTTTTTTTTCAACAACGATAACTCACGAACGAATTAACCGATTTCGACCGGGCTGGCAGTGATCGACGTGGTTTTTTAATGTTGAGGGCTGATCAGTTTTCGGAATCGATCAGTAGAGTCGTTTAAAAGTTATTCCAAAAAAACCACATTTAAAAAAAAAATTTTTTGTAGTTTTTTTTAGATTTCTCAAAATCTACGGGTTCAAATCCGTCCTAATTG